CAATATGGGCTTTCACAATTTGCAAGAAACCACCATAGCCATCATACTATTTATAATATTTTGGAACAGTATACAAATGAATGGAAAATTATCTGTTAACATAGTTATCTTTAGAAGAGGTGGATCTGTTGCCTATAAAGAAAAATGTTTTTGAATGGCAAACAATTATCTATTGTTAATCACTATCTCGGATTAGTGTTTTTCCATACTAAACAAGAGTCATCAGAAGATGAAAAATCCCCCAGCCCATACAAATATGAAAGAGCATTCATCTGACAGTTACTTAAAGTTGAACTTCATTTTTTTAGACAAATTCCAATATGTTTCCATGGAAACCAAGAAAAATAGATATGACAAAAATCTGTAAATAGCAAAAGGCACCACTCTAGGTTCTGTTTGATATATCTGCCAAGTTTGGTTGAAAGATATTCAACGGTTTTCGAGTTGTGCTCCAGAAACAAAGCCCACCACTCCCTTTTAAGAACAGTCTAGTTTCCATGGCAACCGAGGAAAAATAAAAATGACAAAAATATGTAAATAGTCAAAGGCACCACTTTAGGTTCTGTTTGATATATCTGCAAAGTTTTGTTAAAAACATTGAACCTTTTCCGAGTTATGCTCCGGAAACAAAATGATTACAGATGGACGGACAGACAGAGGGGCAAGGCGTCGACTATATCCCCCCGCATTCATGCTAAGAAGGCTCTTTTCAAATTTATGTCAGTTTCCCATAATTTTGGAATTTTAACCTGGAAAATATGTTTCATATTGTTTGATTCACAAATCCAACCGATTGTGCTTCATAGAAGAATATGGCTGTAGAAAATAACATTCACATTATGCTGATTTAAGAAAACAATACATGCCAAATAATTATCTGGAAAAATATCCTTCAAGTGACTTTGTTTCTATTCTATCCTCCAGAAATGAAAATGTAATATGTAATCTAGGGCTTTATGTAAAACATGCTGTTATGCTTAAAAGCAATCTCTTATCTGAACTGTAATTTATTCATGAAATGTCTGTAACATGTGCTGCTTCTTTGACTTTGACTACTACCATACCTGATTAGCGACATTCTGAGTCTTATTTTTCCCTGACCAAAACCCCAAATTCCCTGACTATTCCCTGACTTTTGAAAACATATCAAAATTCCCTGACTTTCAGAGAAATGCCAAACTTCCCTGACTTTTCCCTGACCTGTGGGAGCCCTGCTATAGGTGCTGTCTAATACTGTAAACGTATTATATTTCGCGCAGGTTTTATTTTCTCGCTTTTCGCGCAAAACATTTTAACGCTAAAATTTATACACCGCGAATAACCTGTCATTCATTCAGTCTAGCCACGCTCGCCCCTGAGTTGTTACCATAACACATCACGTTTGAAGACAGAAATCAACGGGAATCTTAAAATGACGACTGATCATACTTAACTGTCGCTGTAATGGATTTCCCAAAACATAATTAAATAATGAGCCAAATCCCATTGCCGAATTAGCGAAAACAGCAATGTGTGTTGTGGCCGCCATGGAAATTGGTCACATGACATGGTTTGATACAAAACAGATTACCGTGAAACGACTCGATAAGAAATAATACAGCAGTATTTTATTTATTCATTAAGATTTTATTCACCAGTACATCATGAAGCTTAATAGTCACTAACACTCAATCATCTCATTCACAACAACCCGGCTTGTTTCAAATCACAAAGAGCTTCATATACAGTATAAGTTAATTCGTCAAATCGTCAGAATTGAACATAAGACTGATGTGTTTTTCATCTCTTCCGGGAGTAAACGGATTTCTGTGTACTAGTATATCGCACAGATAGGGATTTCCTGTGAGTAAGCAATAAACGCCGTCTGACAGGTTAAGCCACTCTGTTTGTTTTCACTGCTATTAGTGGCGGCCAAAGAGACAGCTGGCAGTTCCGGCAATTACTGATTGCGCGAATAATTGACCGCGCGAAGTAGTCTAAACTGTCAATTCCGCGAAAATTGCACCACGCGAAAATAAGTACGTTTACAGTATCAACGCTAATCATAAAACACACTTGGTTTTAACAACTGCAGTAGCATATAACACTAACCCTTTGAAATAGTGAGAGAATTATGTTCAGTTCCTTGAAGCTTGCCACACTCAGGTAAAACTACCAAACTTAGACTTTGAAACAAATGACTTAGGAGGGTGTGGGGTAGCCTAGTGGTTAAAGTGTTTGCTTGTCACGTTGAAGACCGGGGTTTGATTCCCCACATGGGTACAATGCGTAAAGCCCATTTCTGAAAATGTTAAACATTTTAAAACTGAAAGTAATATGATGGCTTTGTTGAGGTGCAGGTGACATGGAAGATAACATGACAAAAACATGTCAGACAACATTACAGTGCCTGACTGACTCAGTTTAGTTTTACACCGCTTTTAGCAATATTTCAGCAACATCACGGCGGGAGACACCTGAATTTGGCTTCACACATTGTACCCAATTGTGGGGATTCGAACCCCGGTCTTCGGCGTGACGAGACAACGCTTTAACCACTAGGCTACCCCTGGACCGCCCCACATTACAGTGACTGCAATATTGATATACAATGTCAAAATACTTTTAAGTAAATAGGAACTTTTAACAAGCTTAATAATGTAAATAACATGCTTTCCTAATTCTGCCAATGGCATTAACTTGACTAAGTTTTGTGAGTCGGAGAAATCCGTAGTGTTGGTTGTGTTAGTCTGTACTCAGAGTGGTCATCTATATAGGCTCTGTATTCGAACAAAGGCCATCAAACAACTGAACATAAACACGACTCCCAGCACATTCCTTCTTGAAGAAAATGCCCATTAATCCAACTATCAGATTTCCTTCAGGCAAGAAACAATATTTGTGTCAAAGTCTATCTTTGGTAATTTTATGAGTGAGTTCATGAGAAGGTGAGTGAGTGATGCTTAGGTTTTAGTCGGCTTTTAGCAACATTTAAGCATTGGTAAGGGACTGACATATTGATCCCACGTGTCGAAGTGAATCAGCTGTCTAGCAAAGCCTTTAATCAGTGACCCTGGTCAAAAAAAAGAAAAGTAAATCTGTTTTACTGACTTGTCAAAACACAACAGCTTTGAACACACCAGACAAAATCAAAGACAGATTTTATCACACTATCGCATCACAAAGTGAGTAAGTGAGTGGGTGAGTTTAGTTTTACGCCGCACTCAGCAATATTCCAGCTATATGGTCTGTAAATAATCTAGTCTGGACCAGACAATCTAGTGATCAACAGCATGAGCATCGATCTGCGCAATTGGGAACCGATGACGTGTCAACCAAGTCAGCGAGCCGGACCACCCGATCCCGTTAGTTGCCTCATACGACAAACATAGTCGCCTTTTGTGGCAAGCATGGGTTGCTGAAGACCTATTCTACCCCGGGTCCGCATCACAAAATCCAGGTCTGACTTGCATAAAAAAATATTGGTCACGTGTGACCATGTTATCAAATCTGAACACTAAATTAATTCTGTCACTTATTGCTGATTCTAACCAGAATTTTCATGAGGCGCACTTGTTTTAATGGCATAGGCTAATGAAGAAAGACCAAATCTTGCCAGAATTTTCATTGGGCTCACTTGTTTTAATGGCATGGGTTGTTGATGACCAATTCTTTCCTGGTATACAAACATCCATATCCAGATAAGGTCCATACATTAGCGTAACGATGTTGCAATATAGTGTTCTATCGTGATATCTCACAATACATCGGTTTACAACTCCTTTATTCCAGTCAACTGGAAACATTACATAGGATACATTACAAGTTAATTTAAAAACAAGCCAATAATTTATTAAATTAGTTCAAGAACTAGTTAATTTGGTATTGGGGAGGGGTACTTTTCGAAATGTTTTTTAGTTAGAAGATTAAGGACAAACACATCAAACACGTCAAGGCAGGGGGGGAACATGAACAATAAATCAACTGAAACTGAATATTTTCCTGCTTAGGTGTTGTCTAACATTATTTTTTCTTTATAGATCTGCAGACATGAAAAATGGACCACTGACAAAAATTGAAAATGACTTCTGATATCTTTTTAATAGTGCCAACTGTAAAAGTAAAAATATAATTGAAAATAACTTAAACAAAATATCACTCCAAAATTGAGATTGTGTTGAACAGAGAATTCTCTGCAAAAACAAAAAGTGTTAACCGCAAAGTTTAAAGCAACACAGATCGATGAAGAGTTACGGCCCTTCAATATCACCTGTCCAGCTGCAGAGACATACAGGCAGGAAAATGGCGACATTCTTGTGCCTCATGAAAGCAGTAGAGTGATATGGTTTTTAACCACTAACAATACAAAAACAAAACAAAGTCCGTAGCTCAACAAAAAACAAAATGAATTGCCTCGCTGAGCATCCGGTGACCAGAACACTCACCATTCTGACGGTCCAAAAGGCATGGCAGCCATGACAGAATGACACAAACCCTAAATTAGACAACACAGAAATGAAACTATTTCCATTAAAAAGTACCGGAAATAGAAAGTCCCAACAAGCACGCCTCAAAAACATAACTGTACGAGATAAACATTTCCTCCTATTGAGCCTTACTGTTCTAACAAAGAAGACTAAAATATACTTTAAAACTGAAAGGTTCCGACTCAGGTCAAGCTCACCTGATAAAGAAGCAGGAAGTAGGCCTCTAACGTAATTCAACAACCCATGAAGAAATTGTCTTCCATCAAAATCTTCATGTTAATACTGATACTTGAATGTAGACTGACATTTAGTAACAGAAACAAAGTTATCCTATTTAAAAAAAATAAATTCAGCAAACCAAATCCAAATAGATCCAATAACAATCCTTGGCATCAGGCTGTGGCAATCTAGACTTGCCTTATCATTCTAGACTTGAGTAGAACTCCTATTAAGTTATTCTCTATGGTCTGGTAGACACAAGTTGAGTGAAGCAAGAGACTTGACAGTAGGGGTGAAACAGTGTACCGCGGTATCAGTAGAACTGCAGTATTTTACCTTCGGTTCGGTATACCGTAATGCAATGCCAAAATTCAGTATTTCGGTTTTCGTATCGACATTTTATTCACCTTTGTAAACCTTTCCAAAATGTCTAGAAATCAAAACATTTTGTCAAAATCTATGCATTTCTTTGCTAGATGGCTCTTGTCAATTTCTGCATTATGATCTTATCTCATATACCGAACCGAACTGAACCTAACCGAAAGCCTTGAACCGCAATACGTACCATACCATAGTAAGAGTGTACTGTTTCACCCCTGCTTGACAGAGGCCAACTTTCTGTCATATGAGAATCTCCCTCTGCCTACTTGGTGGACTGGGTATGGAATGTGTAGAGTGTAGACACTATGGCAGAGATAAGACCAATCTGGAGAAGGTCATCTCTGAAGGCACACTGCACTGTTCTTCTAAAGCTTGGCTGACACTGCTGTTTATCAACTTTCATGACTGACCTAGGCTAATTCTGGCTTGGTCAAGGGTTTCAGATCGTTTTACATATCTACAAGCAGTCACTTTGATCAGGGTTTTAGGTACGAGGTTGGTGTGTTATTATGTTACTATGGGTCACAGATACAATATAACTCGAGTGGAAAAACACACTTGCTTAACATAACCATTAGAAGAATGTGTGTAGTTTGTCAGAACTGGAACAGAATTGAACACGTCATTGTTTTAAGGACCAACAACAAGACATAAATGTCCATAACACTACTAAGTTTGTACACAAACTTATGAAGTCCAATCATCTCACTTGCAGCCAACTGCATCATGTGAAGTGAGCATCAGAAATTATCTTGTTTATAATGCTTCCACAGTTATTAACGCTGAAGGGGGTTGTTGTCGGCACGGGTTACTACAGAAACGTACCTTGGCCATAATGAGAATACAGAAACGTACCCTAGGACGATTCCATTCCCATTGTGTCGTATTCTTGACCGGAACTGTCATACTGTTGATTAGATACATTTGATTGCGTTATGTAAGTAATGAGAATACACAGTAACGGATATTTCGCGATGCACATGAATACCACTCGGAATCAGTTGAACGGGAACAACTACATACGGTTTCGGTTTTGAATTGCGGAATATGGACTCGTCCGCCTTTTAGGGTACCGGGTACATTTCTGTATTTTGACTTTGTTTAGGGTACATATCTGTACACAGAAACGTACCTGGGGTACATGTCTGTAGTACCTGTGCCGACAACGACCCCTTCAGCCTTATTAACACCATACACAACAACTGAAATATGTAGTCACAGGTTCTAAGATCGAAGCGGTAGTGAATAAACTCAGTTCAAAGGTAACTAAAAATGATCAAACCCCAATGCTTTTGATGACAGATACAAGGCAGTTATTTACCCCATCTGCTCAGGTGTCTTCTGTAAATTGTACCTCTTATACACTCACAAGTGTGTCAAGATTAGTGACCATTAATACAATATACACATTCAAAACAATTTTACGACAATGCTTTTTTTTTTAATTTTTAATTACATCTATTAATCAGAGGTGATGTCATGTTAACATGAGACAAATGGGTAACGACCCTGGCTTTTAAATACGTAAACCGTATTAATTACTACGGAGATGGTATAGATTTGTTTTGTGTGATGCCAATGCAACCTTAATTTAAAACCATGGACATACTTGTCAACCACTTCTTTTATCCTGCTTTGGTCATCAGTACATTTTCTCCCATTCTGCAGTCAACATGATTCAACTAACACCTTCAACCCACAACAGAAAATTATCAATTACAGAGCTACAGATAACTTTTTGGACCATTGAGTTATGTACTCGCTTGTGTTCATCTCAAATGGGTATCTTAATTTTCTTTTGAGTAACCAAATAAATTGTACTTACCTCACTCAAATTCAATTGGGTATTTTGCCATTTTCCATTAATTGTAAAAATATGATAAAGTTTAAATGTTACTGTTTGTTATTTGTATTTGATCTGCAATATGAGAAACGATAAGAAAGACTGCAAGTTGTCAAGTTCATGTCCTGAAATAGAACCTCTTCAGTTATTTTATCTATCCACCGGTATGCAAGCTAAGATTTGACAGTTTTGTGTGTACGCATGTAAGATCACATTTATTGAGTATTTACAAAAATTCAAGCGTACTTGTACACAATGGACTTAATAGGGTTTGAGTTTTCACATAAATATTTTGCGTAATTTACGCAGATACGCAGCTTATCTGTAACTCTGAAGTAGCTCTAACTAATTCAGATCCAATAAACTGCTCATAACTGTATACATATGAAAATTTATGGCTAGGGGGGGTGATGGTGATTTTAAAGGGGGTCACCCATTTTGTTCTGGGGATGTAGGGGGTTCATCAATATTGAACAAATGCACTAGAGGGAATCAGCAATTTTGTACATAAAAATATTTTAAAATTATGCTTAAAATATTGTAAAGGGAGAGGAGGGGATCGTTGATTTTGTACATGACATGCAGGGGGGGCACTTATTTTGTACATAAATTTTAGGGGGGTCATTCACATTGTACATGCTTCTCCATAAAAATCATCATCACCCCCCACATCCCCCCTAGCCATAAATTATGAACGGTCCCTTAGTACGGTTTTATACCAGTTTTAGCAATATTCCAGCAATGTCACATATGGTGACACCAGAAATAATATTGTGTACCCTTGGAGGGAATAAAACCCAGGTCTTCAGTCTGATGCAAGTGGTTTAACCACTGGGCTGCCCCACTAACCCTCCAAAATATCATTGGACATGAACATCGGAACATACGTACTCAGTAAATGTTGCCTTGTTCACTTCCTTTTGAATTCCTGTTGCACCACAGACACAATCAAGTTGTACATCCAACATATCCTCTTCCTGTCACGATCCTATATCCATGGTCACACGATAAAGTTATTCCACATCTACAGTTTTTCAGTACCCGACACAAGCATGGAGCTCCTGGCTGATACATACACAAGCATCTATGTCCAATTATCAGAAATCGGAAAAAGCCAGAGCAATTTCGACTCCATCCATTGAACAAAAGAAGGAAGTTTCTCCTCATGCAATAATTAAGAAACACGATCCAGCTTATAAAACAATGTCTCAGATGTCTGATACTGAGCAGGCCCAGCAACACCAGGGGCACTGTATGTGGCCAGTGTTAATGATCCTCGGTCAGAAGAGGTCAATGAATAGGCTACAATGGTGGGTGGGACCTACATCTACTGGAGTTTTTACAATGATGCTCCTTCAAGCCTGGTCTCCAGACTATTGATCAGATGCTCTCTCATCTGATGTAAACAGGACATGTTGATACAGGATCGGAAACAACAGAGTAATTGATTAGGAAGGCTGTGAAAATACTTGATACAAATCATTCATTTACTGACATTAAACAGTTCAGCTATTGCAGAGGTGCGAAAAACACACAGTAGGGCCGTAAATCAAAAGAAGGGAATTTCAAGTGTTTGAAGCATCCAACAAGGATTGGGTTTTTATGTCTGATGAGGCAATCACAAAAATGACGAGGCGTGGGGGTGTCTTCTGTATTCAACTTGCCGTACAGATGAGATCATTGCTTATATCACAATTTGTCTTGGTTAATGCAAGTAATAATAGAATAAATATATGGTGGTCATCCATTGATGACACTGACAAGATAGGGCATGGTGCTTACATTAAAGGGTGACTCTGGGATTTGGAACCTGAGAGGAGCCTGGCATGGGTAAGGGAAGTAACTCTACTGTACATTGTGAATGGTAACATCTGTGAGTGGAAACATTAATAATAATAAGATGTCTTATAATGCGCTAATCTCCACACGCAACAAAGCATACTCAAAGCGCTTACACAAACATATATATATACATCATGATGAAAAGTCTAATTCTCAAACAAATGAGTCTTGAGGCTTGCTTTAAATGCATCAAGGTTGGGACGGTCCTGAGGTTTACTGGCAGACAATTCCATTTGCGTGCAGCAGCAATTTGGAAAGACCGTGATCTAAAGGTTTTCATACGGTATGGCAATAACTGAAGCTGTAGTTGATCAGCAGATCTGAGATCTCTTGCAGGTTCATACACAGCAATGAGATCGTTGAGACATTGTGGGAGCAGTAGTACTTTGTAGAACAGTGAGAACAGTGTACAATGTAGTCAGTCCTATTTCAGCTTATCACAACTTTGGAAGTATTCAGTGAGTGACCTACCCCAAACCATCCTCAAACATCCAGTGTTTTACTTATCTCCATTCTGGAAGGAGAAACACCCTCCACACATTCATGATCACAGCTTTGTTCTGGAAGTGATGTCACCAGCCCCAGCTCTCTTAAAATTAATTACCGCCATTTGTGAACTTCAACTCAAAAAACCAATCAAGATTCTCCTGAACATGAATTCACCATAGATCTACTTCCAGCATCACAGGCTCATTTGTACAAGCCTTTCATGCATTAAAATGAATCATAGGACTATCTTAAAAACATCTTTCTGCTGGAGCACCATGACACTAAGGGAAGCTCCTGTTTAACAAAACTCTGCGATAACGTTTGCAATTTCATAATGAGTAGTGTGATTTGATTGGAGATATATTTTAGTGCATTTCAAACTCCACATAGAGCCTACTGGTTGACTGTGTGGCCCATGCCCTCCTGGTTTTTATTTTAAGTGGTGCAATTAGTGCCCTAGGCTGCTTTCCACAAAACGATCTTAAATCACACTTACAGTAGGGTAGTTGCAAAGGTCTCAGACCGGACTGCAATTTCCACAATCAGCCCCTGGGTGAGAGTCCTTCAAAATGGGATACTGCTCCCAGTGGGGTAGTCTGTCTCACAGTCCCTGAACCACATTATTTTCCCCAATGCTTAGCCCTCCCTGCAGTGCTGAAGTTCTAAATAAAGCAAGTCTAGATTTCCCAGGTTCTGAATCTCTGGTCTCTCTGGGGCTCCATTTCAATTTAAATGGGCTTGTTTGTTACTATCAAAATTATATATATTCAGAGACTAAGCCTTAGTCTACCAGTGGGGTAGTGGAGTTATTAGCTGGACTGATGGACACAACCTGGGACTGCCCTCACACAGAAATCTTGCATATTGGATGTAACCTGTGTTGAAAATACTCAGGACGATTCTGCTGCTGGGTAGATCTGACACAGACGCATGTCAGTCCGATTCTCATGCTGAGTGACGTTAACAGAAACATACTGAAACTTGGATACAATAGAAATAGTTTAATATTACAGAGCTACAGATAACTTTTTGGGTCATTGAGTTATGTACTCGTTTGTGTGTATTTCAAATGGGTATCCTAATTTTCCTTTGAGTAACCAATAAATTGTACCCACCTCACTCAAACTAAATTGGGTAAATTGCCATTTTCCATTAATTGTAAACATATAATATAGTTTAAATGTTGGTTTACGTGTTTGTTATTTATATTTTAACTATAAAGAAGCTATAATAAAGACTGCAAGTTTCCAAGTTCATGTGTTGAAATAGAACCTCTCAATATACATCAGTTATTTCACCTAACATTTGACATTTTTGTGGGTACGCTTGTAAGATCAAAGTGATTGAGTATTTACAAAAATTCAAGCGTACTTGTACGCAATAGGAATTGGGTTTTCACATAAATATTTGCATTATTTACGCAGATACGCAGCTTATCTATACCTCTGTATTAAATGGTGCATCAATATAGTATCTATTACAACGTTCAGTCTTGTCAAGCCATTCGTTTCATTATTGTGGGAAACCCACTTTCTAAAAATAGAATATCTAATCTGATTGCATTAAAAAAACTAAGGTAATTTTTTCAATCTGAAGATAATTATGCAATATCACATACTGAACTGGGTATAACTGATTATCAATTGTTAATTACCACTAACTGTGAATTAATTTTCTAACAAATACTTTTTACAAAATGGTCCATTTTTATCTGCATATGACTCCCTTGGGGACAGAAAGGGAGTCAAGATAACTCCTATATTGAGGAGCCAAGGGCAATCCCTGTACAACTGATACCAACATTTTTAACTATACCTGTCTTAACAAGTAGGTAGGAGTATGCAAGATGACACAGTCATCAATTACAGTACAGTTTCGCACAAAAGCCAAGTCACGGATGACTCTCTCCCCAATAGTGATTGTGCCTATCCAAGTATAGTGTTCATTCTGTCGCAGGCCAGTGTAAATCATCCTGTGAATTATGTTGTAGCAGTCATGCTGTGGATGATGTCAGCATGACATTTTTTTATCATGTTCGTGAGTTGATCCTGTGTGATGTCAATGCCCGGACTTTTTGATCAGGTTCTCGTCACGTGTCCAACCTAAAATAATCGTGCTGTTGTTGGAAACCAACCATGTGTTTCAAAATGGTGAACAGACTAAACAATTCTAGGAGTTGAGGGAAGGTACTCTGCAAGGAATACTTGCATTTTAACCTGTGAAGATCTGGGTTAGAATTGGTCTTCAGTAACCCATGCTTGTTGCATGACTAACTGGCACTCTCCTACCCAGAGTTCCATGCGGCAAGCCAGCATAGTACCTCTGCCACAGGCCAGAAAGATGTGACAATTCAGCACATCTTGCACCGTCCATTTAATATAATGTACATATTTCTTAAGTCTTTTATTTTGACGAGTCTACACATCTTATTAAACATCTTTGATGGAATGGTTTAGTTTCAGAAAATATCCTAAAACATGTAACACTATTTCGATTTGTGTAGCGATCCTTTGTTTACATAGGTTGTACGGCTCCATGTGCTGTCATCGAAGCAAATGATGAGAGCAAACGATGCAGCCAGTTTGATATCTTAAATATGTACTGTCACAAATCTTAATGTTGCAGTTGTGGAAGAATATACATGTAACAATGGAAAAAAAAGCGAAGACCGCGCCGAAAAGCTTGCGTAAGACCAGTCTCTTCTTATTTTCTTATTATGAATATGCAGATTTGTTTACAAACAAGAGGAAAGTCCAGTCACGTAATATGCAAATTAGCCTGTGGCAGTGATATTATGCTAAGTCATCACTCTGCCGGATTGTGACTAACCGGATCGGGTGGTCAGGTTCACAGACTTGGTTGACATACATCAGCACACCTCAGTTGTGTAGATCGATGCTCATGCTGTTGATCACTGAGTTGTCTGGTCCAGACTCGATTATTTACAGACCACTGCCATATAACTGGAATATTGCAGAGCGTGGCATTAAACAACGAACAAACCAATCATGACATCATATACTTGGACTTGACTACTTCTGCCCCAAGGACCTGTGTCCAAAGATAGCCTGACACCACCTGGGACTTCTTGTGCCCCAGGTCCAACACAACTGGCTACCTTGTGCCCCCAATGATAGCCCTGACACCACTAGACTACTTGTGCCCCCAGGATTGTCCAACACAACTGGCTACCTGTGCCCCCAAAGATAGCCTGACACCACTAGACTACTTGTGCCCCCAAGATTGTCCAACACAACTGGCTACCTGTGCCCCCAAAGATAGCCTGACACCACTAGACTACTTGTGCCCCAAGGATTGACCTGTGCCCCCAAAGATAGCCTGACACCACTAGACTACTTGTGCCCCCAAGATTGTCCAACACAACTGGCTACCTGTGCCCCCAAAGATAGCCTGACACCACTAGACTACTTGTGCCCCCAGGATTGTCCAACACAACTGGCTACCTGTGCCCCCAAAGATAGCCTGACACCACTAGACTACTTGTGCCCCCAAGGATTGTCCAACACAACTGGCTACCTGTGCCCCCAAAGATAGCCTGACACCACTAGACTACTTGTGCCCCCAGGATTGTCCAACACAACTGGCTACCTGTGCCCCCAAAGATAGCCTGACACCACTAGACTACTTGTGCCCCCAGGATTGTCCAACACAACTGGCTACCTGTGCCCCCAAAGATAGCCTGACACCACTAGACTACTTGTGCCCCCAGGATTGTCCAACACAACTGGCTACCTGTGCCCCCCCAAAAGAGATAGCCTGACACCACTAGAGCAAGATTGTCCAACACAACTGGCTACCCGTGCCCCAACAGATAGCCTGACACCACTAGACTGCTTGGGCCCCCAGAAACAGTGTCCACCTGTTTTAATACATGTTATAAGGCTCTGTAAACACGGAGAACACACGGCAATAGTAACAATTAGGGATGCCACTATACATCGATACTTTTTCTAAGATGATACAATTATTGATACCTTCAAATCCGTACCGATATTTAGTTTTGAAAGTATCGGTTTAAATATGTTTATGTATCGTTTACATTTTGCAATTGTATCATGTGTTTCGATGCTATGAGAGTTATAAATTATTATTTTTCATGCACAAAGATGGGAAATTGGAACTTTTTTATCTCTGATAATAAAAAATGTTGATCTTTTCAAAGACAGCTAAAAATATGAAACATTAATGTTCAAAATGTAATTAAATTTACGCAACAATGCCGCGAAAATAGGTATTGTGATACGTATCGAATTGTGACATGGGTATTGTGATACGTATCGATTCATGAAACTTATGTATCGTGACATCCCTAGTAGTAGTAACAATACAGAAACCTGATCTCAGTATACCAGAACATTTTTCAGTTCTGTCCTCTTTCATTTACAATTTTCAAAGACCCGATTGGCTCAACTCCCATGCTTATTTTCAAAATGAGCCTAAACTCTGTAATTTGTGCCCTGTTAGAAACCAAGAACATGGAAAATACATTGATGGTTAGAATGATATAAATATGAAAATGTAACTTAGCAGAGGACAAAATGGTGTTAAACCGACTGAAGAAAACATTATTGAAGCTGGTGCTTTCCTCTGTACACTCAATATCCTTTACAGAGATAACTGTTCAAATGAACCAGAACAAATTCAGATCTAAAACCAATTGATCATGCATCACATTACATGGAGCAATTCACTTCCTTGTGGACACAAACCATGGCTAGAAGGGCTTGTATCTTATCAGGCCTAAAGATCGTTCATGTGACGTAACACGACGTAATCTACCAGGGAGCTACTGCCTGTTGCCTACTGTCTTGTCGGGTCATCATGGATATATACACCCACGTTAGGGGGGCATGGTATTATCACTCAGTACATCAGGATTTGAATGCAAATGAATATGTATTGCAAAAAAAACGGAAAATCAGTTATTTCTTCTTTTCTTCAAAATCAAAATCTTGTAGACAATGTTTGCACGAGTGGCATGTCAACATGACATAATGTGATCCGGAAAACACATCACTGGTCTTGGATAAAAGGACAAGTGGCTGTTTCTAAAGCTGTTGACTATTAATAATGGATGTGAATTACAATGTTTAAAGGAAAAAGGAAATATGAAAAAGTTTGTTATAAACCAGTTTAAAGTAACAACTTATAAAAACATAAGTCTGTCTGATGCAAAACTGCAAAAGGAGTCCAACTAAAGTCTGGAGTTACTACAAAGTCTAGGTTGATTCAGCTGAAATTTAATTAATTGATTTATTAATATTTTAATGTAAGATAACTTTATTTCTTGGTCTATATGTCAGTCTAAATAAAATTCTGAAAAAACAACAACCTTGAAACTGACAGGATTCATGATTTGTTTTTCATCAACAAATCAAACCAGGAGTAAGTTGGGTTTTATGCCGCTTTTAGCAATATTCCAGCAATATCACAGCAGGGGACACCAGTAATGGGATTCACAAATCGTAACATGTACCCATGTGGGGAACCAAACATGGCATGATGAGCTAACGCTTTAACCACTGGGCTACCGCACCGCCCCATCAAACC